ACACACACACACACACACACACACACACACACACACACACACACACACACACACACACACACACACACACAAATTTTTGGTGCTTTTGTGCATTTCAGTACTTTTTCGTTTTCATACTGTCAACTGAATACAGTATGTTTATGAGGTGATAAGCACATTCTTTCTGCAGGTGAAAAATCTRCATATTTTTAAGCACACTTTCATGCAAGGTTTGTTTTGATTCATCCAGATATGTGCGTAGAACCTGACGTAAACAAACCTTTAGTGCATACACAGAAGATAGGCGGCCCCWGTTCTTTGCAACCTAATATTGAGAAGCAGGTGAAAAATATGAATGATAAATTTATTTAGGCAATTTTTAAAATACAATGTAAGATCAATAAAGCATAGATTTTTTGAACAATTGTTTTGGTTGAATTATTTTCTTTAAATTGAAATATGTCACCTTAGTAACAGTAAAATATAACACATCATACAAGAGAGGAGAATTTCTAAAATTCTATGGAGCCAAATAAAAAGCTAGAAAAAAGAGGCAAGTTACAGAAACAGTTTTTCATATGTTCTTGTAAACTTCATGAGGAAAGGAAAACAATAAAGGTTTGTCGATGGACAAATGCATGGTTTAGAAGTCTTGCAACGTGAAGAGAGATAGGAGTTGCATGGAGCAAAAAAAAGTGACAAGAAATCCCTAAAGATAAAAAAGAAAGGAGGGATGAAAAATATCAGCTCATCAGAGACTACTTGTCAGAGGGCTAGAACTGTTTAATGATGGAGATCAAAGACAAACTTTGTTTTCCACAATTACTCAACAGCTCGTGTCTGAAGCCGAGTTTTCATCAATCTAAATCTTTGTTCCTGAACTTCCTGSTGTTYATCTCTCTGATCACTGCAACTCTTAACCTGCTCGTCATCATCTCAGTCTCCCATTTCAGGCAAAGATAAACTTCTCAGTAGAATAAGCAGTTAAATTTAAAAGTTGTCTTTATTTGAAAAAGTCTGACTAAATACTCCTTGCATATAGTTTGTTGAAATTATTGAATAATTTATTTTTTTATTTCACTGCAGGCAACTCCACACACCAACGAACATTATCCTCCTTTCTATGGCAGTCTCAGACTTCCTTGTCGGTTGCTTGTTGATGCCTTTAGAAATCTTAAAGAGTTCATCCTGTTGGTTTCTTGGGGATTTCACATGTTCTTTATTGTATTATATGATTTGTCAAATTATTTCCACTTCAATAGGAAACATTGTGTTTGTATCAATTGATCGCTACACAGCTATTTGTGACCCTCTACATTATCCCACTAGAATCAATCTGGTAAAAGTCAAATATAGTGTATGTCTGTGTTGGTTCTGTGCTGCTTCCTGCAGCTTTTTGTACGTGAAAGATGAACTTATTGAACCAGGCAGGACTAGGTCCTGCTTTGGGGAATGTAAAGTTGTAATGAACTATATTGTGGGTACCTTTGACCTAATTGTGAACTTCACATTTCCAGTTACTGCTATCACAGTTCTGAATTTGAGAGTATTTGTGGTGGCTGTGTCTCAGGCTCGTGCCATGCGCTCTCACATTACAGCTGCTGCACTCCAGAAATCAGCGAATGTAAAAACAAAGAAATCTGAGTTGAAAGCAGCCAGGACTCTTGGTGTTCTTGTATTTGTGTTTTTACTATGTTTTTGTCCATATTACTGTGTCTTTCTTGCTATGAGTGACTTGCTCAATGCTTCATCTATGGTTTATGTTTTTTTCCCAATCTATTTAAATTCCTGTCTAAACCCCATGATCTACATGATTTTTTACCCCTGGTTCAGAAAGGCTATAAAACTCATTGTCACTTTACAGATACTGAGGCCTGGCTCATGTGAGGCCAACATACTCTAATAGTTTACTAACTGGAAAAAAAAACTTGCACTAGAGATATTTTTTCAGTCACTGAATAAGGAAAACCATAAAAGCTGAATTTGATAATAAAGTGTACGAAAATGTGAAAACAAAGCTTGTGTATCTTCAACTTTCACAGTCATCCCATTAGTAGATAGTGTTCATGGTGCATTATTCTCATTTAGAAATTACACTAATATAATTTTTAGATTTTCTTAACTGCATTTGTCGCATAGTTTAAAGATGAATTTTAGTAAAAGGGGCATCCATCCATCCATCCATTTTCTGTACAYGCTTCTTCCTTTTCAGGGTTGCATGGGTCACTGGTGCCCATATCCAGTAGTCACAGTGCGAGGGGCAGGGGACACCCTGGACAGGTCGCAAGTCCATCACAGGGCCATTAATTAGTTAAAGGGGCAATATCAGGTAAAATAAACATTTTTGAGCTTTATATCATTATAATGTTGTTCTCTCAGTGTTTCCCCTACCATTATACAGGCGGGGCGGGCCCCCCACCAACGAGATGGCCCGCCCCTCTTGGAATTTCACGGCACGTAGACGTTTTTATTTAAATAAGGTCAGATCAAGTCCAGAGCTATTTTTTGCGCCCCTCCATATCGACCTCTCACCAAACTTGGGGAAAAAGACGGCGCAGAGCGAGGGTGAGCACTGGGTGTGGTCCTCACAAAGATAGGAAGACACGTGTGTGCGCGCGATGAAAACTGCTTTTAATCACGTAGCACCGATGCGACAGCTTTGCAAGGTACTCTTTCTTTCTTTAAAATAAAATGCGACAGGTTTGTACCTTATCAATAATTTAGAATCCCCAACACAGACCTCGAGGTTCCCGCGACTCCGTTCATGTTCTATAAATAGTTCTGATCAGCATAGCAGCTGTAATGGTCCTCAACTTTGAAAAAAGTAACCAGAGTAGTTTGTAAACTCAAATCCAGACAGAGTCAGCTGCTGTACAGGTCCTGCTGGACTCAAACATGGAGCTCCTCTCCTCTCCTCTGTCTCACACACAAGCAGGTTAGACAGACAGTCCTGTTCAGGAGCATTAACCCTTAAGGGCCCAGATAATAACCGGTCTTTAAAATGTGGTAAATAAATTATTTTCAGTGACTGAGAGGAAGTTTTTTTGATAGTTGCATAATTGCATTTTCTAAATGTTATCATTTATATCTCCAAGAGAGTTCTAATTCTTAGAAAGGACATGATTTGAGGTTTTTACTGACAATATTTTTATTCAAAACATGTTACAGAAGTCATAAGAAGCAGGTTTATTTTGAACAAACATTACAAACATGTTCATTCCTACAAAACCGTCAAATATATTTACAAACAACACTAAACTAATTCAGATTAACATAAAATAAATAAATCATGTTTTATAATTAAATGTCTGTTTCCTGCTATAAAGAAAAATCCTCCTCCTGTCCTCCTTGTTCCTAATCAGGGTCAGGGTGGGGCTGGAACCTGTCCTCGCTGCCTTCGGGTGAAGGCAGGGGACACCTGAACAGGTCTCCAGTCTCCATCAGGGACACAAAAGAGACAACCAACCATCCACACTCTGTCACACCTATAGAGTCACACAGAAGAGCTCCAGAAGGTTTCAAACTGAGAACTCTGGACTCAGATCATCTGCTGCACACAGTTCAAATCATTTATTATCAATAATAATTTGCTATGATAAGTTATTAATAATTATCATGAGGAGTCCTTAACTTTAGGATGTAGTTAGGCAATTAAATATTAATGTATGTGTAAATTTATTACCATAATTGAAGGTGAGTCGCGTAAATTTATGTTTTAATAAAACAAGACCCCCCCCCCCCCTCCAAAGACCAATTTTCTAGGGGAAACACTGTCTCTCATCAAAAACATGCCCAGTCTTGCTTTGACTCATTCATGCATGTTTGAGAAATCCTGTAGTGTCCTGAGGCAGCCAGGCAGATGAGTAAAAACGACCGGTTGGGCCTAGAACCATCTTTTGGGACCAGCTCCTCATTTAGGCTGTGTCTCCAAACTGAGCTTCCTCATCACGGAGCACACACACCCACTCGGCACACTTTTAGACACTTGTTTTATTGTGGTTGTCTTTACTCTGAGGGATTAATTGAAGTTTGTGATATTTTAACAATTAGTTTTGCAAAAATGTTTTTTATATTTTATGGTTTTACTAATCCTAAATAAGTAGGGGGAATTAAAATGAGCACAAATAAAAGATAAAACTGGTGAGGCCACCAAATTTTGGGGGTGGGGGTGGGCATAGCCTCTCTTGGCCACCCTCCATTGTTGCACCACTGGTGATTGACAGATGCTGTTCCACAGAAGAATGACAAGCTGAAGCCAAATCTCTCTGTTGGACTGAGAGATAATCAGGGAATTACTGTAGCCTATATGTTGTTCTAGCAGGAACAATTTGGTTCTGCTGTTAATATTCTGTAGTTTATAAGTCCTCTCTGCAGCTGGCCAGCTGAGCTCTGAGCAGATCAGCTGGAGGCACGTTATCGTGGTTCTGTATAACAAATGTATGCTGCTGTGACCACGGGGCCGAGCATAGTAGCACCTCTTCTGCCCGAAATTGACTCAGATTATGTACCGGGAGAACTTTGTAAAGTTAACAGTTTCCCCCTGCAAGCACAGTGGAAATTAACGCTTTCATCTGGAGTTGTCCTGCCTCCTGCTGTTGTATTTGTGTATGTGTGAGACGACTGCGAGTTGTGTGTGTATGTGTATGGGTGGGGGTGTGCTTATGTGTGTGTGTTTGTGAGAGAACGAGATAGAGAGAGAAGAGACAATGGAGAGTAGGACAAACAGACAGACAAACAAATCTTAGCTAAGGTTGTGATATTTAAATTGTGTATTTTAAAGCTTTGAGCCTGCGAGTCAAGATGAGCACATCAGCTGAGGGTGAACCCAGTTTTACCATGTCAGGGCCAACCAGACGAGGGAAGTCGACAAGACTTCAGCTCAGGGGTGTCGGCCTGAATGGACAGCACACACAGTGGCCTTCTTGTCGGTCGAATGGATGTAGGCCTTTGTGGACTCGGTGCAGTCAGCAGCATGGCAAGCTGGGGTAGCTCTCCCCAAGACAGAGGCTCATCAGGGTGGCAGCTTTGAAAAAACTCACAGCAAGGTGGTTCCAGGGCAGCTCGGGAGTTCGGAGCAGCCCAAAATGGAAGTTATAACTCCAATTAGAAGAGATTTTTCCTTGTAAGTTCCAAAAAGGAAAAATTACTGCGACAAAAAGAAAGAAGCTGGAAACTAGCTGTTTTCCAGCTCAGAAAAGCAAGAAAGCTGGACAGACCTTCACGGCGTCTTGACCCAGCAAAGCAAAAACAACAGACTGAACCCAACGGAGCAGAGAAGAGTTTTAGAGTTTCAGACTGAGCACAGCGAAGCACTGTTCTCAGGACAGAAGAGATAAGAACGTGTATGAGTGTTTGCAGGTGTCTAGGTTTCTCGTGAGAAATGTGTATGTGCTTTCTTTGTATGGAAGACCCAAGAATAAAAACATAGACATTGTAACACACGAACATCTTATAAGCAGGAGTAACTAAACTCTTAAAAACAGCATATTAATATTCTAATTAACTAATGGTTAATTATGAACGTTGACTAAATGGACTATTAAGAACTATTGAATAATGCTTATCAAAATAAGAGAAATAAAAAAATTAAAATATAAGCATTAACTAAAACACATATTCTGTTATAATTAACTCATAAAAGTCTAAGCATAACCAGAGACAACAAATGCAGAATTATTATAAGCTAATTGGAAAGCCCTTAAAAACAAAGACAAAGATAAAAAGTCAAACATAGTAAATGGTTGAAACCTCGGAATTTTACAAATTGAGAAAATGGCAACAGGAGGTTTGTTTTATTTTATTTTGTTTTTATCAACAAACAGCAAATCTCCATGAGAGCAGGAGCAATGTTGATTTCCCAGGGGAAAGGAGAGGCAAAGTTTTTCTTAAAAAAAAAAAAAGACCAAACTAAGGATAATAACATCAGAAGGGAACAACATAATAATGACAACAATTAGGGAACTGCACAATCTGTTTTTTAAAGCGTAATGTGCAAATGTGCAATAAGTAACAGTCTGAAATGTGCACATGTGCAAAAATAATAGTAGTCAAAAGAATGCCGCATTCAGCTGTTTAAAAATCTGAGGGCACTTGGGGAAAATGAGTTCTTGTATTTGAAGGTTCTGCATGTCACACTTTTGTACCTCGGGCCGGAGGGCAGAGGTCTGAATAGTCCATGCTGGGGGTGGGTTGGGTCTTTGATGATTGAGGCTGCTCTCCTGAGGGCTCTGCATTGGTAGATGCTCTGCAGAGAGGGCAGTGATGTCCCTGTGATCTTYTCAGCAGTTTTTACCACTCTCTGCAGGTGTTTGCAGTCCATAGTGGTGGCACTGTTGTACCAGGCTGTGATGCAGCTGGTCAAGATGCTCTCTACAGTGAAGGTAAGTTCCYGATGATTTTTGGTGACATGCYAAACTTCCTTAGTCTCCTCAGGAAGTAAWGTCTCTATTGAGCTTTMTTGACCAGCTGTGTTGTGTTCTTATCCAGGTCAGGTTTTCAGTGAGGTGGACGCCCAGATATTTAAAGCTGCTCACTCTTTCAATCTTGAGGTCTCCGATGTGCAGTGGCAGGTGCAGCCTCCTTTCCTTCCTCATGTCCACTGTCARCTCCTTCGTTTTGTCGATGTTGAGGGTGATGTTGTCCTCACACCAAGACACCAGGCCGACTACCTCCCTCCTKTAAGCTGCTTCAGCCTCCCCAGTGATGCATCCTATCACTGCAGYGTCATCAGTGAACTTCAGGATTATGCTGTTCTCATGGGAGGCAGCACAGTCGTGAGTGAACAGGGTGTAGAGGCTTGGGCTTAGGACGCACCCATGTGGGGTTCCGGTGTTTGTGATGATCCTGGAGGAGGTCCTGTTCCCAATCCTGACTGTCTGAGGCCTTCT